ACGCAATACGCGAACACTTACGCTTTACCAAGCCGGAGAACCACCGGAAAACAACGCAGGGACGGCTATCAGATACGTCGCGCTAACGTCAAGAGAGGCGGACGCGTCACGTGCCGCCGATTCGCTCGGTACACCTGCACTTTTGTTTTGTACGCGTTCCACGGAAAATTTCTCGCCGTACATCGCGCCGATATACCGAATCAAAATTCCTCTGCGTTTTCTCTTAAAATGTAAAACCCTAAAAAAATCATGGTAGTTATGGATACGATTTCAAAAAATTTCATATAATTTGGTCTGATTTATCTACTCTGTGTCTATTAAAATGTTATAAACAAATTCCTTGAATTTTTTCAGGAACTTTCGTTTAAAATTCCACATAGAAAATTAAAGAATTCTTGAATGCAATTTTAAAATAAATTTGTCTTATTGTATGCATATATTTCCTAATTCTAATAAAAAAGAAAAAAAACAAAAAAAAATATTTAACATTTCGATATTAATGCTTTTGACTTAATCATTCTTGTGCAAACAGATGGGTTGTCTTCATAAAAACTCGCAAATTACATTGATGACGTTACATGAATACGTATACGATGTACACGGATATATATGCTATACTACTAACTATGCTAATGCTATGCTAATTACTAACTTGAATGATTGATGGATTACAGTTTGTATTATAAGATTAAATTTTTTTCAAATTTGATTAAAATATCTATTAAAATTACTATATATATTTAAAATATATATAATAAAATATTAAGTAATTAATGATTCTTTATTATTTTAAATAGAATAAATATCAAATAAAACGATAATAAAATATCTCAAATTTTATATAACACAGCATATTTTTAATTCAACTTAAATAACAATTTAATAACAATTAATAACAATTTTATCGTGCGTGATAATTTTATTGTATTATAATCAGTCGGTAATGTCATTGACTATTTTCGTCGTTCGTTTAGTTGCATTAAATGAAATAAATGAAAAAGAAACTAACAAAGATCTTTTGAAATACACAAAGACAGAAGCACAAAGATTTATAGTATAAAGAAAATATATCAAGAATTTTTTCATTGTGTATAAATGTTTTCATAATTATGTCCTTGTAAACTTTGTGAAAGTTAAAAAATAAACTTCTTAAAAAATTTGTTTAATACGATTGTTTCTATAAATTTTGGTTTAAAACATTTTACACTCTGCTTAATTTGTACTATGTAGCTTATAAAAATCTTTTATATTATTTTAAAAATTCTTATTGTTACTGATGATATATCAAATTGTATTAAATTGACCTAAGCTTATCACCAAACATTGTAAAATTTATTGAATTTTGTGATAAATTATAATAAAAAATTCTTTCCATTATCAATTAAACTTTTTACATCTGTTTTGAATACTCAAGTTAATTTTTTTTTATATTATTTAACAATAACGATGTGCGATTTGACAATATATCATATAATACCATGCCATTTTTTCTTAAATCGCAATGCAATATGCAATTAGTTTTTTTTTAATTGCAAACTCGCATAACGATTAACAATCGCAAATATAATTCAAATCATAATAAAATATTCAGTCATCAAATATTTATATAGAAATAGTAAAACAAAAAATTATCTTCACCTCGCATGTTACATAAATATACATTTGACTCCGATATAAACGTAGAATATATTATTATAAGTTTATTTTTAACATATTTAACATGTTTGATATTGTTCTTTATTTATATTATTTTATATTATCTTTATTTATTTATGTAAAAATGAAAAATATGTAATTTAAAATCGCATTTATGATAAAAAAACAATATGCGACTCAACATCGCGTTTATGATACAAAATCGTGCACATATTCATTACATCCGCGATAAAAAATTGCGATGCAATACATCACATTTACTAGAATTCTTAAGGAAGATCGTAATGGAATGATGTATAATTTTGTAAATCGTATATCTCTACTAGTCGTATACCTCTATAGCTTCTATTTAGAGTCATAAAATTTTATTGAAGATAGTCGGAAATTCCTCTTTTGAACTTCAAAGTAGGAAACTGCTTATTGCTTATTTCAGGTGCAAAAGAGAAGAATATAAAATAAACTTGTCGCAATCCTGCAGAATTTATAAACGTTTTAAAAGTAAGATCAAAAGCAGAAATAAAAATTTCGACTCGGGAAGTTTCTCGCTGATCAAAGCTTTTCGCAATTTTTCCTCTTTTCAGCTCTTCTAAACGAGTAAACGCAAGATTTATCTCGACACGTTTCCGTCATATTTTCGAAAATAAAAATTATATGAAATTATCTCTTTTCGCATAATTCATTCTCGAGTCGATAGAATTATTTTGTAGTTATTAAAATAGTGCGATATAAGGTCAAATTTCAATTCAATTCACGAAAACTCTTGACTCGAGTGATCGGGAATTTAAATAAAACTTGTGTCTTTCGTTAAAAAAAATTATAAAAAATTCCAAAAATATTTTCCCGATCATAAATCTTGAGATATTTCAGATCAAATTTAATTTTCAGTCAAATTCGATGTGTTTTATAAATGATTGATGATTAGACAAATAAAACTTGGAAACTCCGTTGAATAAATCCACCGAAGATGTATTTCAGCAATTTTTCAGATTGAATTAAATATTAATGATATTTCAGGTTTTTTTATTTAACTTTCGACCAAGTTCACCACATCATGTATCTTACATTTCTTATAACACTTTGCTTATCAATATTGCGTGTTAAATTTATGTTTTCAAATATTTCAAGTTTTATTTCTTTAGAATCAATGATCAGTGAGATACAACAAATTTAATTGAATTTGATCTTAAATATTTCAGAAAGCTGTATTACTCAAAAAAAATTATTGCAATTCTTCATAATTTTTATATTTGATAAATGTGTAGTAAGTAAGTAAGGTAGTAGTAGATAAGTAAGATTTAAATTCTAGTCAAACACTTGGAATCGAACCCTCGTCAGATATCGTTATCAGAAATCGCGAGTGTAACGAATAAAAAAATGTCGCATGCGTCGTAGCGAAAATAAATCTTAATCCACGATGTCTACATTTTTATAGACCACTCCAGTAACTTTATCTTCAGCTCGCATCATCGTGATTGAGAATTTTATTTATAAACTCTTATCTAACTTCAAATTAAATAAAGTCTCGTCTCTTCGGTGATAGTTAATAATAAAAAAAAAAAA